GATATGATTACTTGGGTCGAAATTTATATATACATAAATATACTTTGATGTAAATTGCACAAATATGTTACATAAGACAAAGTACAATGGAGACAGTCCATATCTGAAACCTTCGTTTAAAATACACTAGTGAATAAGACAAATGGTGTTTATAGTTAGATTTGTAACATAGAAACATAACATTTTCTTCTTTTGCATAAGAGTATGCTGATCTAAAGGTATGAACTACCTGTCGGATTCGTAATATGTTTCATATATATAAATAACAGATAACAATGTATATGCTATAAATTTATAGATTAGTACAATGTATATGTATGTGCGAAATATTAATTCAATAACAAAATTACACACTCATGCTAAAGTTTTTATTTGCGATTTAACACGAGCATGTATATGCGACATGATGGATGCCTTGATTTTAAAAAGTTATCAGAAGCCATCCCGAGCGGGCACACGGACAGACTTCAGTGTCTGTTAAACAACCTATTTCAGCATTAGCTGTCCAGTAATGCAAAAATAAACATAATGAAGCAATTCTCACTAAAACAATTACAAATAAGGTTTAAAAAGGTCATACCGTAAACCCTGACTCATCATAATCATCAACATCCTTACATAATTCTTAACATCCCCCCTCCTCCTCATTATTACCATCCTCCTCCTCCTCCTCCTCCTCCTCCTCCTCCTCATCATCATATAAGATATTATTCTTAACATTATCATGATTATCATCTGACATCATGTGTCATCATCATCATCATCACAATAACCATCATCCTGACATTTTTCTTAACATCATCGTCTGCATCACTATCATCTTACATCATCAGCATCATCATCATCATCTTCATATAAGATATTATTCTTATCATTATCATCATCATCATTATAGTTGTCTGACATAATCCTGATCATCATCAACCATCATTATCCTTTGTCATCATCTTCATCTCATATCATAAGCGGATATTAAAAAATTGCCAATGCCATGTACATATACTAGCGAAATAAAAACCCTGTGCATGCGGAGAATTGTTAAAGAACATGTATTACCAACTGTATATACATAAAAATTAACACACATGACCGAGTATGACATATACACTCTATCCGTGTGTAATTGACAGTTTTCCCCGTGCAGTTTGCTCTCTGTAGGTGTTGACCAGTTTGCACGTTTTTTCTCGTCCAGCCATCTAATTCGACAAAGAAAGTTCATTTTTCAACTGTTGGGTCTATCTTTTGAGACAAGTGAACAGTAAAAACAGTATTATAACGTTTTAATTTGTGATTAATGCTATGTCGAGGCTCAATCAAAATGACCGGCACCGGATTATTGGTATGCTTCAAGCTGGTAAGGGCCCATCCGTTGTCTCTACACGTTTTCATGTCCATCGAAACACAATCCGGGATTTGTGTAGACGACAATCCCTGGGTTGCTACCAATAAGCCCGAGAACTGTACGGAACCTATTGTATGAACGAGCTATCCGTCCGCGACGTCCTGCAATCCGCCCAGTTCTTCTTCCACGTTACTTGTAGCACGTCTGGACTGGTGCAGGAGGCATCTGCGATTTACTCGACGGGATTGGGCAGGCATTGTGTTTACGGACGAGTTGCGAGTCCATCTGGATAGGAATGACCGCCGTTCCAGATATATCGTCCCGTTGGAGAACGTTTCCGTGACGCATGTATGGTACAACAACGTTCTTTCGGCGGAGGCAGCGTTATGAGTTGGGGCGGCATCACAGCCAACGGGAGAACGCCTATGTTGGTTGTTAACGGGAATTTGGACGCGCTACGTTACCGTAACGAGATCCTCCGAACCCACGTCGTTCCATTCGTGTTCAGTCGCCAGTGTTGGGATCATCTGTGCAAGAAGGACATACTTTTTCGGACGATGTGAGTTTGGGAGGGAATGCTAATGTCGGAAACATTTTTCCGAATTTCGAGGACAATACTGACATACTGACATGTTTTACTAATTCGAAAACGGAAGTGATGGAACATGTACAAAATCTGTGTGAGAGTTTGAATGGGAATAAATGGTATTTAAACATTCGTACATCATTGGAAAAGGAAGATCGGGAAGGTAATGTTGTGCAGACCACACCGCATTTCTTGAGTAAAACCTACATATTGATGCCAAATGAATCGGGTCTAGAACACGATATTAATGAAGCTTAACAGAAAATGTTTGCTTCATTGGTGGAACTCGTTCGAAAAGGGTCTACATGGGTACTCAAGAAAATCATCAAGCTAGAAATACACGTTGCAAATTACTCACCTCTGAATAACAAAAGGGTGCTTCCTATGGTCCGGTTTAAGCCTCTCTCCATCCGGTCAATACCTTACCCGAACGCGTTTCTCTTCTCGTACGAATGCGAATAGACATGACAGGTATCAAGAATCCCGTCTCCATCTCTCAAATCGACAAATTTGAAAGACAGAACGATATAGCAGTAAACGTGTTTGGGGTCGAGGATAAAACCGTTTATTCCATGAACGTGACAAAGACAAAAAAGTCCCATCATCTCGTCAATCTTCTCTTTTTACAAGAAGGTGTGAAAACACATTACTGCCTCATTCCAACTTTAAACACATCTTTAAATAGTTTTAAGCATTGTTGACAAGGTTTCACGAGTAGCGTACTGTTAAACAAATATGTGGAACTGTGTTCCAATCTTAGGACACAGAGAGTAGAATTTCCCCAGTTAAGACGATGCTCTCTTATCGTTTCAGGACTTTTAGAAACAAATGAAAGAACCTTTCATCATCTATGCCGATTTCGAAATATTTGTAAAGCAAATGGACTCCTGTGAGTCAAACCCAGACTATTCAAGCACGACTAAGAGTACAAAATTCGAACCCTGTGGGTTTGGATACCAAGTCGTATATATATATGGAAGACAGATATACGAAACCGCCCGTAACTTACATGTCTCAGAGCCTAGATACTCTGACTGAAAATCTTGCCAAAGAGGGTTTGGTGAAATATAATAACTTCTTTAGAAAATTGTCTGAATCAGGAGCCGAATTCCTTCTCAGAAAAGGTTATATCACTCCGAGTACGTGGACAACCCCGATCGGTTTCCGAACAAAAGGTACCTTCAAAAGAGACATTCTATAGTTCGTTGAGTCGATCACACGTGTCCGATGCCGATTACAAACATGCGCAGAACGTGTGGGAGAAACTGAACATTTTAGACCTCGGTCAGTATCACGATCTCTATCTCAAGACGTACGTGCTACCATTGGCCGATTGAGAACTTCAGAAACATGTGGCTGGAATATTACGGGTTACATGCAGCTCACTTCTTTACCAGTCCAGGTCTGGCTTGGAGCACAGCTTTGAAAATGACGGAAGTGAGGTAAGAACTCATCAGAGATCCAGACATGTATCTCTTCTTCGAAAACGGGGTACGAAGTGGTGTTAGTATGATCTCTAACAAATACGCTGAAGCTAACAATCCTTACATTCCAGAAACGTACGACCTCTCCCAACCACACTCATACATCATGTATACGTATTGTAATAACTTGTACGTGAAGGCCATGTCGGAACCGTTACCCGTGGTAGGGTTTCAATGGGTTGAAAACCCACAAACAGTTGACATAACCAAAGTCACCAAAGACGGAGACTTGGGGAACGTACTAGAAGTAGATCTGGAATACCCAGACGAACTCCATGACAGTCATTCCGATTACCCCCTCTCTCCGGAACGAAAAAAAACCCGTCAAAGAATTGTCACCAACCAGTAAACAGCTATGGACAACTTTACATTCTAACCCTAAACACACCGATGACAAATTACAAGGGCGTGTACCGACAGAAAAACTGATTCCAACATTAGAACACAAGACGAAATACATTTCATTATAGAAATCTACAATTGTACGCGGAATCGGTTCTAAAAGTCACCAAAATCCACAGAATCCTAGAATTCATACAAAAACCTTGGTTACGCCCGTACATTCAATTCAACACATCAAAAAGAGCGTCATGTAAGAACGAGTTCGAGAAAGATTTCTTTAAACTCATGAATAATTCCGTGTTCGGTAACACGATGGAGAACGTGCAATCTAGAGTCGATATCAAGCTGGCACACATGGACAAAAAGTTCAAAAAGTACACGGCAAGACCTTCTTTTCAAAGATTCACCATCTTTAACGAAGGCTTGGTAGCCATTCAGAACGATCAAGTGAAACTACTATTGCACAAACCCGTGTTTGTAGGACAGACCATTCTAGATCTATCGAAATGTATCATGTACGAGTTTTATTACAAGTACCTAAAATCGAGATATGGAGATGGAATAAAGTTACTCATGACGGACACGGACAGTCTTTTGTATCACGTTCAATGCCCAGACGTCTATGACGACATGTATCGGGACAGACACCTATTCGATCTGTCCAATTATCCGGTCGACCATCGTTGTTACGATACAAAGAACAAAAAGATACCCCGGTATTTCAAGGACGAAACGGGAAGCGAACCCATTTCACAGTTTGTAGGAATCCGCGCTAAAATGTACTCGTCCGTCTATGCCGTGCGCAAACGGATAGAAATAGATAATCTTACTGTCCTATATAACGATATGAACAAAAATCAGGTAGCTAAAGGCATTGCAAAGACGACCGTTAGAGGCGATCTAAGGCTAGAAATAAAGGACTGTTTATTCGAAAACAAAATTAAAATGTGTAAAATGAATTCGATTAGAAGCGATAAACACCAACTGTACGTTATGCCGTCAACAAGTCGGGTCTGTGTGCCTTCGATGACAAGCGTTGGGTCTTACCCAATCGGTGTGATACGCTTGCGTTTGGTCATTACAGAATTTCTATAATAGATTGGCATTCAAAAATAAAACAAAAATGCAGTTTTACAAATATTTATTTCAAATGTACCATCAGACAGAAGTCGTCATGAATGAAAATAAATGATTGTTAACCTTTTTTTTTTTTTTTTTTTTTTTTTTTAAACCCTTATGAAAATTAACAAGAAAGTTTTAACTTTAAAAACAAAATATTTAAAAAGAAAACCTAAATTAAAGTCTACAATATTTTCATGTATCTTAAGATTGCTGTTTGAATAATGTACTTATTGATGTTTTGTATTAAGCTGGCTGCAGAGACCAAGAAGCTGGCTGTGGAGGCTGAAAAGATGGCTGAAGAGGCTGAGAAGATGGCTGAAGAGGCTGAGAAGATGGCTGAAGAGGCTGAGCAACTTGCGGTGGAGGAACTGGCAGTTGGGGCAGACTATTGGAGGAAAAAAAGGAACATTTCTCTAATATTTCAAAAATATTACATTAAAAAGATCTTGTGCTATTACTATGACAGTACTAACGTTGATAAGATGTATGTTTCCCTCCAATGTCACATTTATATTGATCAAGTCCTGATAATCCTCCCACGATAGTGGAAGATAGTTTTTTTTTTTTTGGTGATGTGTAGATAAATCACCCCATGAAATTCTTTCACCGATACCCCGAGCTGTCAGTGAAGCTTAGTTGACAAGGACTATTCCGTCATTCCATCTAGCGCCAAAGTCTAGAAAGTGACGGTTAACTGTATTGGCGCGCTTTTTATAGAGAAAGAACGGCCAATGAAAAACAACGTTTAAGGAATGGTGGATTTGTCAATTATATTTTCAATATTTGGAAGGCGTGTTTATTATTTTGTAAGGTGTGTTTTTAGTGAAAAACGTTGCACAATCGTGATGAAGTCTTTTTTTTTGCTCTCACACATCCGCAAGTCATTAAAAATATATGTATGGCGAGCACCTACGTAATAAAAAAAATAAAAAATGGGTCAGATGAAAATTTAAAAATAAATACTCTTGTTTAATGTATTTGTTGGTCTTAAAATATAATAAATGAGTAGATATATACTGTAATAAAACTTTATTCACACTTGGATTAAATTGTTAAACATACATTCCACTATTAAAAAGGACACTATTGCCTTGTCCCTTTGACTGCATATTTAAATGAATATATATTTAATTTCTAGAGATAATTGAAATGGATATACCTCCTATCACGATGCCAGTCCCGCCTCCAGCATCAGGTAAGTTAGAATCTTAAGTAAGTCTTCACAGTTGATAATTATGATGTTTATTCAATAGTCTTAAATAATGTTCCTAAATGTTGTATTACATTTTACATTGTAGATGACACTCTAGTGAAGATTGAGGGAGATGTGGAGGAGGAGGAGGAGGAGGAGGATGCATTTGAGGGAAGGTAGAAAATTTATTTTCATAATTTCATTTAAAACAATTTCCATTAATAATAAATTTGACATTTTAACTGAATTTAAATATAAATAGACCAACATATCTAGCTTGATTTAAATATGTCAACGTACCTTTCAATCAAGATTATAGTGTTTTCAAACGGAATAGTATCTATTATTAAAACAATTCCTCAATTTAAATCATCCATGACTGCCATCGCACACAGTTTGTCCATCGTGCGAAAAGATGAGCGCAAACTTAAATCGCCCAGTATTTCATCTTCCGCGCATAGTGCACAAATCCCTAGAAAACTTGGTTTGAGTTTTTTCTTTCGAATCAGCTGCGACATATACATAGTACAGGTAGGGAAAGCAGGGATACTTTTATCAAAGAGGGGAAAGTTCACAATCTTAAAATGTAGTCTTGTAGATTTCAGGTTGTGGTAGTTATATAAAATCGACGAGTTCAATAGATTTCGTGTTATTCTTCGAGGATATATCATCTATAAATCTAAAATAGGGATAAAAGGTAATAAAAGGCAACTTACACTTTACAGTTGATTTTGGCGAACGTCAGGTGGACCATTCAGCGGTTCTTTTGCCGGAAACTGTCAGAAATAATAAGCATAAATGATATAAACACTCGTAGAAATATTAAGTAGATATGTTAGTAAATTATGCTGTTGATATGTTTTGCAAAATGATAATAACAATTCTGTTGCATAAACATCCATTTATCCATTTAATTTAATATATATGAAATGAGATTAAAATTGATTTTTAACCGATGCCATAACAGTTCTTATACTTGAGACAAAATAATTACATCTTTAACATAATGTTCACATATGTGTTGATGATATTGAAGATAAAACTGCAGGAATCCTCATAAAGTGACAGTAAAACAGAACAAGCTTCACTAAAACTGATTTAACGTTTCCTGCTTGATCGACGACACCAGCCAAATAAATGAAATTCAAATCCAAATCATTTTGCATTACTCGAAAGAAATAATGCATTTTCCTTCTAATCACATTGAACACAAATCGATATTTTAAAATTTCCGATATTCATATCGTATCAGATATGATTGTGTAACTACACGATGCACCAAAAATAGCTTTTGCATATAGTGCACAAATCGTGCGCATATCAAGATGGGTATGCACAATCGTGCGATCTAGTAATCGTTTTTCCTGTAGGCGCATATATCGGCACATACACGTATGTGCGATTTAGTGCAATTGGTTTTATTAAATTTACGGATTGATAAAATTCTGAATTGATTTACAAATAATGTAAATGGTAGATGTGTAATTTTCGGTAAGTATGTGTTGCTCTATCCCATTTTTCAATGCGTATTACACATGTACGGTATTAAATATGTAAAGAATTTGACTTTGTTTAGTAAACAGTTAATTTGATAACATAATGATGATTCTCCTGATTTTTTTTATTTCGTTTGTTTCGATCTGTTCTGTTTCTCTCTCCGAAAGTCAACTGCGGCATTTGTACATCTCAGAAAGTTACGAAAGTGCACCGGTCGACGAGAAACCCACATGTAAAAATACAATACTTCTGTTTCCATTAATAATAAATTTGACATTTCAACTGAATTTGAATACAAATAGACCAACTGATCTAGCTTGATTTAGATATGTCAACGTACCTTTTAATCAAGATTAAAGTGTTTTCAAACGAAATAGTATCTATTTATAAAACAATTCCTCTATTTATATATTTATGTCATCCATGATTGCCGTCGCACAAAGTTTTTTCATTGGCGCAAAGATGTGCGCAAAATTAAATCGCCCAGTTGTTCATCTTTAGCGCATAGTGCACAAATCCTTAGAAAGCTTGGTTTAATATTTTTCTTCAGTATGCGATATCTCACACTGGTTCCTTCTATTCTAATTCCCTCCGTGAATTTCGAATCAGCTCCGACATATACATAGTATAGGTAGGGAAAGCAGGGATACTTTTATCAAAAAGGGGAAGTTCACAATCTTAAAATGTAGTCTTGTAGATTTTAGGTTTTGGTGGTAACATAAAATCGACGAGTTCAATAGATTTCTTGTTATTCTACGACGTCATATCATCTATGAATCTAAACTTGGAAGAAAAGGCAATGAAAAGGCAATGAAAAGGCAACTTACACTTTGATTCTCAGACAGTGTTTGAACTGGATTTGGGGCACCGGTCGGTATGATGTTCTGCTGAGTAGGATTCATCCCTGGATTTGCAAGAAGCTGGCAGAAATAATAAGTATAAATTACATAAACTCTCGTAGAAACATGTAAGTAGATATGTTAGTAAATTATGCTGTTGATATGTTTCAAAATGATAATAACAATTCTGTTGCATAAACATGCAATTATCCATTTAATTTAACATATATGAAATGAGATTAAAATTGATTTTCTTACCGTTGCCATCTCAGTTCTTATATTTGAGGCAAAATAATTACATCTTTAACATAATGTACACATATGTGTTGATGATATTGAAGATAAAACTGTAGAAATCCTTATAAAGTGACAGTAAAACAGAACAAGCTTCACTAAAACTGATTTAACGTCTCCTGCTTGATCGACGACACCAGCCAAATAAATGAAAATTCAAATCCAAATCATATTGCATTACCCGAAAGAAACAATGCATTTTCATTCCAATCACATTGAACAAAAATCGATATTTTAAAATTACCAATATTCATATCGTATCAGATATGATTGTGTAACTGCACAAAGCACCAAAAATAGCTTTTGCATATAGTGCACAAATCGTGCGCATATCAAGATGGGTATGCATAATCGTGCGATTTAGTAAACGTTCTCCCTATAGGCGCATATATCCACACATGCATGTATGTGCGATTTCGTGCAATTGGTTCATTAATTTTACGGATTGATAAAATTCTGATTTTTAAAAAAATAATGAACATGGTAGATATGTTATTTTCGGTAAGTATGTTTTGCTCTATTCAATTTGTCAATGCGTATTACACATGTACGATATTAAATATGTATAGAATTTTACTTTATTTAGGTAAATGTTAGGTGTGATAACATTAGGATGATTGGCCTGTTTTTTATTTCGTTTGTTACGATCTATTTCTTTCTCTCTCAGAAAATCTACTGCGGCATTTGTACATCTCGGAAAGTTACGAAAGTGTACCGGTCGACGAGAAACCCACATGTAAAAATACAATACTTCTGTTTCCATTAATAATAAATTTGACATTTCAACTGAATTTAAATACAAATAGACCAACTGATCTAGTTTAATTTAAATATGTCAACGTACCTTTTAATCAAGATTAAAGTGTTTTCAAACGAAATAGTATCTATTTATAAAACAATTCCTCTATTTATATATTTATGTCATCCATGATTGCCGTCGCACAAAATTTTTCAATCGTGCGCAAAGATGTGGGCAACATTAAATCGCCCAGTAGTTCATCTTTAGTGCATAGTGCACAAATCCCTAGAAAGCTTGGTTTAATTTTTTTCTTCAGTATGCGATATCTTACACTGATTTCTTCTATTCTAATTCCCTCCGTGAATTTCGAATCAGCTGCGACATATACATAGTATAGGTAGGGAAAGCAGGGATACTTTTATCGAAAAGTGGATAGTTTACAATCTTAAAATGTAGTCTTGTAGATTTTAGGTTTTGGTGGTAACATAAAATCGACGAGTTCAATAGATTTCTTGTTATTCTACGACGACATATCATCTATGAATCTAAACTTGGAAGAAAAGGCAATGAAAAGGCAATGAAAAGGCAACTTACACTTTGATTCTCAGACAGTGCTTGAAATTGATTTGGAGCACCGGTCGGTATGATGTTCTGCTGAGTAGGATTCATCCCTGGATTTGCAAGAAACTGGCAGAAATAATAAGTATAAATTACATAAACACTCGTAGAAACATGTAAGTAGATATGTTAGTAAATTATGCTGTTGATATGTTTTTCAAAATGATACTAACAATTCTGTTGCATAAACATGCAATTATCCATTTAATTTAACATATATGAAATGAGATTAAATTGATTTTCTTACCGATGCCATAACAGTTCTTATACTTGAGGCACAATAATTACATCTTTAACATAATGTACACATATAGGTTGATGATATTGAAGATAAAATTGCAGGAATATTGATAAGGTGACAGTAAAACAGGACAATCTTCACTAATAGTGATTTAGCGTCTCCTGTTTGATTGACGACACCAGCCAAATAAATGAAAATTCAAATCCAAATCATATTGCATAAACCGAAGGAAACAATGCATTTTATTTCCAATCACATTGAACACAAATCGATATTTGATAATTACCGATATTGATATCGTATCAGATATGATAGTGTAAATGCACATTGCACCAAAAGTAGATTGTGTATATAGTGCACAAATCGTGCGTAGATCACGATGGGTATGCATAATCGTGCGATTTAGTAAACGTTCTGCCTGTAGGCGCATATATCCGTTAATACATACGATTTATGAAACTGGGTTATTAATTTTACGAATTGATAAAATTCTGATTTTTTTAGAATAATAAACATGGTAGATATGCAATTTGCAGTTTTTATTTCTTGCTCTATCCCATTTTTCAATACGTATTACACATGTACGGTATTAAATATTGAAATAATTTGACTTTGTTTAGGTAACAGTGTGATAAATAACGTTAGGATGATTGGCCTGTTTGTTTCGGTCTATTTTGTTTCTCTCTCAGAAAGGTAACTGCGGCATTAGTACATCTCGGAAAGTTACGAAAGTGCACCGGTCGACGGGAAACGGGGCCTCCATGTAAAAAATCATTACTTCTTGTTTCAACAATTTCCATTAATCATAAATTTTACATTTTTAACTGAATTTAAATATAAATTGACCAACAGATCTAGCTTGATTGAAATATGTCAACGTATCTTTTAATCAAGATTAAAGTGTTTTCAAACGAAATAGTATCTATTGATCAAACAATTCATCTATTTATATCATCGATGATCGCCATCGCACACAGTTTGTCAATCGTGCGCAAATATGTGCGCAAACTTAAATCGCCCAGTATTTCATTTTCCGCGCATAGTGCACAAATCACTAGAAAAAAATTATACATAGTACAGGTAGGGAAATCACGAATACTTTTATCAAAAAGGGAAAAGTTCAAGACCTTAAAATGCTTTTGAGGTAAAAATCGGTTGGCGGAACTGAGAAGTAGGCATCTGCTGTTGATATCCTTGAAACTGTCATTCGTTCATCGTGCGCAAAGATGTGCGCAAAAGTTAATCGCCTGGTATTTCGTCTTTTGTACATGGTGTGCAAATCCTTAGCAAATAGGTATATCACTCACATGATATACACCTATGGGTCAATGATTTTGAGGATAAAAGCAGCGTGTGGATATAGTACACAATGTGTGCGTACGAAACGGAAGCAGAGGATATGGTAGGACTGGTAAATAGAAATAATATAAACACTTGTAGAAATAATTTTATAGATATGTTAATCAATCATGCTGTTGATATGTTGTCCAAAATTATAAGAATACTTTTGTTACATAAACATGCATTTATCCATTTTATCTTATACATACTAAACGAGGAAATATTATTTTCTTACCCCTGCCATGACTGTTTTAATGCCTTAGGCAACAAAGTTAATCGATAACAAGATATTTGAGTTGGGGGACAAAATTGTAAGAAACCTGAAATAAAAAGACATTTAATGAAGAAAAGGTTCACTAAAATGGTTAAGCGGCTCCTGTTTCATCGACGACACCCGCTAAGTAAATTAAGTTTCCATCCAAATAATGTTGTATTACTCGAAAGAAAAATGGCATTTGCATTCATATCACATTGAACACTTATCAATATTGAAAAATGTCGATATTCATATTGTACCAGATGATGATGTGCGGCAGCACAGCACTCCAACAAGTGCTTGTTACCAAATTGTTTAATGCAATACTCTCTTACGCTGTCATCAATTCTTTTTGAACCTTTGAAGTCACTTACAAGATTGTTGTCCTTCCACAAAGGAAAGGGCATCAGACAGTAATTAAAAATAAAACAATGCCTCTAATGATTTCTTCACATAGGTTCATTTGTTATTATAAATTTCAACAGTTCAAATATACCTGTACATACCTTCAATACTACAATTGAACGTTCCAAAACCAACTTAGCTTGTCGTTTTCTGAATTATTATTATTCCTAATTCTAGAAAAAAAACATAATTTATATAATTTAAAGTAGCGATCATCTTCAGTAAATAAATAAAAAAAATACTTATCACATAAAATATGTATGTATTGACACTAGTTTAACAGATTGATACTATTTTTAATTGACAGGTGGTCTTTACAGACAGGTCGACATTATATGGTAGTTAAGGCTATGTGCTATAGAGAGATATAGTCATTAAGACAGGTTACAGTAATTCCGATCAATATTTAGAGCACTGAGAAGTCAGCAAAGGTCCCGTCATGTGTCTGACCGTCACCCCATTGGTTTATTTTAAGTAACACTGACCTTGACCTTGACCTTGACATCAGAAAATTTAAAAACGCCTTGTGCACATCTTCATTTCACAGTATATCACCATGTCCAAATTCAAAAAGATAAGACTTTTTGATTCCGAGTTTTCCTAAGGTTTATTGTGAATAACAGTAACCTTGACGTTGGCGTAAGAAAGGTTTTAAACCCTTATTGCGCATCTGCATTTCACAGTGTTTCACCATGTCAAATGTCTTTCGGATTCCAAGATTATATTGGTAAACGAAAGTGTGGACAGACACACATACATAATGGTTTAATCTTTTTCTTCCACATATGGAATTCAGTAAAAATGATAAGCAAATGTATTTGAATGTTTCAAAAAATTACAAACACAATTTGTTTGAAAAGAACAGAAAAAAAAACTTTAAAATACCATTTAAAAAATCATTATCGTATTGTAGTGCTAATAAACATTCTATAGATGAAAGTTTATATAAATTCGATTCGATTCGATTTACAATTATTTACTAGTGTTATAATTTCATGGAAACAACGGCAAAAGCTCTATTGATGTTGTAAAACTTCATAGTCTGTTTAGGACACGTTACAGATACTATAAAACTAACTTATATATTACTGAATGTCTAAATGTTCGTTGTTTCGGAGAGCTCAATACTATGAATTGAACACGTTTGGGGTTTTTCCGCAATACTACGAACTGTTTGTTAAGAAAACGTTTGTAATTTCTCAATACTTCGAACTGGAATTAGACAAAAAGTGTTTAATTCATCAACAAAATAAACATTACCAGTGTGTCTGGTTCGTTTCTCCAATACCCGGAACTGAAGCTATAAATAGCGTTCGGTAAGTCCCATATACCATGAGCTGTATTTATTTATAGCTTTGTTTCACAGATACACCGAACTGTTTCGATGAACAGTTTTGTTTATTATTGTCAATTCCACCGTCTTCTATAAATAACATCTGTTATAACAAATGTCACAAACTGTTTATACAATTGTTTATGTGTGGTGAGCAAGAGAAACAGGGAAGCTAAAAAAACTCGATACAAAAGAAAATCTTTAAAAAGACATATGGCAAAATGATTATTCATTGCATTGCATAGGACGAAACACTCGCTCTGTTATAAAAGTTACAAACGTTTTTTTTTTATAAGAATGAAACTACATTCTGGTATTAATGTAAGTTTTGCTGATAAAACGTCATCCACTCCATTGAAGTTATGATGATAAGAGGCCAGCAACTATATTGTGATTAAACTGATGTAAATTTAACTCCTTCACCCCTGGTCACCCCTGAATGTTCATACAAGACTTAGTAATCAATAGATGTTGGAAAAGTATTAAATATAACTGTAGGGGTCAGTTGGTTTTTGATGAATGAATAAATATATTTAATGATATGACTATTTAGATTCGTACTTGTTTCATGTATCCTTTCTTATTCTCTGATAATTAACGCACGGTGACAAGCCGTGAAACGAAGGTAGGTTTGACAAGCTTTTACAAATAATCAACCTTTTAGGATACTTATTTTTTAAGACTATGTTTTTCTTTTTAAAGTTACCCACATCACACGAGTATTTAATAAGGTTAGGATTAAGGTAGTGTGTTAAACTGTGTTAACCATTTTTCTCTACATTTGTACTCTGAATTAATAAAGCAACGGATATAAGACAAACATATACTATATATAGATCTTCGCAGGAGAAACATATGTATCGCTGTGTTATACAAGTGTGTTTTCTAAAATTAAGTTAAGAAGGGAACATGTAATGTTTTTTCAATTACCTGAAAAGCACGGCTTGTATATATAATCGACTTCCGGGTTCGACAACTGTTCGTGTTTCTACCCAGAACTCATTTAATATTTAAATACGTAGCTTACTATGCATGAATGGATATATAACAAACATGTACTGAAGTAATGTGCTGTGCTTGTGTAACTCACATACAACGAATAGTCCATACAAGTCAATACAAGCGTTACAGTAAATGTCTGTGTATGCCGTGTAAGAACAAAATTTATATAACACAAAGTTAACAAATAATGACAAAAGTAACTCAGATATTCCAGATGCAATATATTTTACCGCACTGTAACAAATGTTGTTTACCTTACCGACACACATGTCAATTTCGTACTCCGTTATCAAGGATTGTGTTAGCGCTTTTTTTTTTGCTCTTTTTTTATCTATAGAGACACTAAACATTATAATACATCGGAAACATATGAAATGTAGAAAAAAAATGATATAACCATACTTTCATCAGATATCATCACACTTAACAATTTTTCATAATATTTCTTGTATGGTGAATAAATGAAACAAACTGTATTTCGAGATTAACATCATTTGCTATACATTTAACAATCATTGTTACATATACACGTACTGCATAACACATGTTTCTTTTAAGTTTTTCACGTTACAGATACTATACAACTTAATGATACATTACTGTAAGACTAAATGTTCGTGGTTTTGGAAAGCTCAATACTCCGTACTAAACACGTTTGCTTTTTTTTCGCGATACTCCTACATTGTAACTGTTTCTAAAGATAACTCTCCGTCAATCTGAACCTTATTAGTGTGCCTCGTTTGTTTCTCCTATACCCGGAATTGCAGCTATAAATAGCGCTCGGTAAGTTCCATATACCGTGAGCGGTATTTATCTATAGCTTTGTTTCGTATATACAATGAAATATATCGATGAACAGTTACAATCGTTACGGTCACTTCGATTATTTAATTCACTCACATTGTGTGTTTGTATGTTCACCTTTCGATCAAAATATTTATGACACACGGGTTCGAATAATATATATTAAGTAGTCATACATATAGAAACCAAATGTTCTCTTAATAAAAGGGAAAGTACATTCTGGTATTAATGTAAGTTTTGCTGATAAAACGCCATTCACTCTATTGAAGTTATACTGATAAGAGGCCAGCTACTATATTGTGTTAGCTATTTAGCTATGATGTTACGAGGCCAGCTACTATACTGTGCTAGATATGATAATAAGAGGCCAGCTACTATATCGTGTTAGCTATGATGATAAAAGGCCAGCTGCTATATTGATATTAGCTATGAAGATACATATATGTGAGAGGCCAGCTACTCTATTAATATTAGCCATGCCGATTAGAGGCAAGCTACTATATTGATATTAGCTATGATGATACATATATGTGAGAGGCCAGCTACAATATTGATATTAACTATGATCATACATATATGAGAATTCGGTGTGTGCCATCACAACATATACTTGGGAACTGCTCTCAGGTCCCAAAATATCTCGTGTCGGTGCGGTCCACGGTCCAAGGGAGATGATTCTCCCGAAATTCACCAAAATGTATATATTTTCCTGGGACAACGAGGTGAATACAAGTAGGCATTACTCGATAGTCCTTACAAGCTCGTTTTATTAAAAATTGAAACACTAATTAGCTTATTGATTGTTCTAGACGTACTGCCAGGTGCTTGACGCAGAGCTGGTGGAAATTGGCACTGCATCTGAAGACGCGTTCATTTGGAACGTTACAACACTTTGCCTGGTACGTAGCAAGGGAACGCTCTCCTGTAAAAGGAGAGAGCCGATTGATATTTACAGTTTTTATATTATAGATGCATTGACATTGATTCAGTTTGAGTAACCAGAGAAACCGCATGTGATCAGGTCAAAGTCGAGTTCGCTATTCTCTGCGCCAGCCAACCTCCCAAAAATCATTATATGAATAACTGAAACAAACTCATATAAATATATATAGCTTTCGGTTAACAAACTTTTGCTCAGTTGTGTGGCAAGCTTTTCAAGCAGAGAGTAGGCATTCCGATGGAAAAAAAAAATGTGCTTTTCTTTTAGCTGATTTCATTGTTGCTGAATTGCTGATGTGGCATCGTTGTAAGCTAGTTTAAGCTTGTGGTGATGCATCATTTTTATTTCTATCACTCGCGACTTACTTTTCCGGTTGCGCACTTAATATTTCCTTAATCATAGTAGTGTAGCAATGGCTATAGTAATAATGTGAGTTACATTTTTTTTCTCCATATGAAGCTGGGTTTATTGATGCGCTTATCCGGACTGGTTATAAAAATATAGCCAAGTTCTTCAATTTTTCATTCATTATCGACGATTTACTGTTTTCGAATAATGATAAATGTATTGACCACATCGATCGTATATACCCACATGAGCTTGACATCAAAGACACTACAGACTCTTCCTCCTCCACCTTTTCCCTCCTAACTTACAACATAACAGGAACAGTTTGCTACTAAAATGTACAATAAACGACGAAGTCGACTTTCCTATCGTTATTTTCCCTTTCTTGATGGTAGAAATGGACAGACAGAGTGATTACTATAGGGCAACCGTATCTCCGATACGGGCCCTAATTAAAAGAGTAGCTATCCTTACACATCACTATTATACAATCTGCTTTAGAGGAGTTACTTCCCCTTTATGCATCTACAATGTCTTTAATATATGTAAACAATGCGCTAAACACTGGATGTAGCTGTAAGGAAAGGACTTACATAGGCAATGCCTGATGTCCAATCCTGTTGACTTCTTTTTTTTTCTCTCAATAAAATATGTTGAAATTGATATTGATATTGAGGAGAATACATTTACCATTTGATTTATATTCATGAATGAAACTGATAAGGGAATTTTAACAGATATAACCATTTATATGAAGCGTACTCATTGTCACTTTTTCGAATCATGTTCTAACTCAAATACAAATAAATGCTCAGAATGGTGTAATTTTACATGAAAATAAACATCAATAATATATATGTGCAGTGTAAACATCCAAAAACAAATCCACCGTATGTATGATTTGGTTTCTTACATATATGGTTTTACAAGTTCGTGTACGAGAAATTTCATGTACTTCTCCTTCTTTACTGAACTTTTTAGTAGGTTATATATTCGCAAATTCAAATACCAGACTATATAAATACTTCTAGGCTTATACAGCTAGCATAGATAAATTATCACGGTACGGCTTGGTTTAAAACCATTGTCTATATCCACTTAATATTGCATATTTAAGTTAATGAAATGAACAGAACACTGTATAATATCGAGCTCTTTGATTATGTCAGTAGTTAGAACAATGAGAACGTATATAAGCCAAACAAATACACAGAACTTCTTCTCTAGCTAGTTTGGAAAGTTTCAGCCGGCAGACGGCTAAACTTCTATACAAGGTTAAACATCAACTAGCACCTTCCTATCTAAAATATTTCTGCTCATTCCAAACGCATCTTTCTCACAATTATCACTTTAATATAATGACATTATGCCGGTCATTTCCAGAAAGGTTTGGGTAAGCGTTATTTTGTTTAACGTCCTATCAACAGAACAAGTCATTTAAGGACGTGTCTCCATGTGTGTTGTGCATCTGTGAATGTGTGTATGTGTGCAGGAGACATTGTATGATGGTGTTTTTGCCTCTTTGTGATAGCACGGATCTGATGCCGACTTTAAAGTTTTTTCTCACTGAAATATCTTGTTGAAGGCACCCATCACAGCATTCCGCCCGTCTCATTATACTGACAACGGATGAACAAGTGTTGCCATTTCCCTAAATGCTGAATGCTAATCAGGGAATAACGACTACCATTTTGAAGGACTTTGGAATGTCCCTGCCTGGGGGCAGAACCCATTTTCTTTCTCACCTGGGTAAACGTTCAAAATTAAAGCCGCAAGTGAGGTATTCAAAGCAAGGCGCCAGGAAAGAAAATGTAGTGAGATGGAAATATAAAAATCCCAACTATTGCAATTGCAGATATATTTTGGTCGTTTTTGATAATGACATGTTGCAGTTGATTCGCCCTAAAAGATGCTATAGTGAACCAAAATTCCAACATCTGATAAGGCGTATCTGAAGACCTCGGTTAAACATTGGAATCCATATATGTTATTACTAGGGTTGTCAACGGTTAGCCGGCGGTAAACCGGTTACTCGGTCGGGAGACCATTAACCGGTTACCAAGATAAACGACCGAATAGTTGGACATAATTACCCCTTTGATGAGCCCCATATTTCCCTGGCTTATACATTATCTATAGATGCGAATACAATGAAACAGTTTTTTGATAAACAGAGTTCAGGCTGACTCGTTAGAGTTGTTTTTGTTCTCTATTGTAAAGATTGACAAGGAAATGCCGTCAGCACCCCATGTTTTTGTATGCGAGATGTAAAAATAATCTGCAGGGTACAGTACACACTTGAATGGGCAAGCATGTATAAGAACGTTTGTGGATCAACTTTTGTTTTAAATAACAACATAACAGCATATGACTTCGAATACAGATAACTGTAATTGTACCTACATTGGCTGTCCATGGAATATACTTTTAAATTCTATTTCCTAAACATATAACGTATTGTCATTGTTTATTGTAAGTTCACTTGGCCCTTTGGGCCAAGTAGCTTATGCTATGGCGCGGCATCCGTCGTCCGTCCGTGCGTCGTCTGGCGTCAATATTTTACTTTAATGAACATCTTCTTAGTAACTTAAAGGCCTATGGTAATGATATCTGGTCCGAAGCAAACTGGGATAAAGGGCTACCAAGTTTGTTCAGAAAATGGACCTTCACCCATATTCAAGGTCACAGGGGTCAAATATGTAAAATAAAAAAAATACAATTTCTTCTGAGTAACCAAAATGCCCAGGGTGATGCTATTTGGCCAGTAGCATGCTAAGATGAAGGCCTACCACGTTTGTTCAAATACATTACCTTTACTCATATTCAAGATTACGGGGTCAATTGTCTGTAAAAGCCTTTAAACAACTTCTGCTTAATAACCAAAAGATCTGGGGTGATGATATTTGGCCAGAAGCTAACTTGGATAACGGGCTACTAAGTTTGATCAAATACATGACCTTCACCCATATTGAAGGTCACAGGGGTCAATTGTCTTTAAAAAAAAGTATACAACTTCTTCTGAATAACCAAAAGGACCAGGATGGGGATATGTTGGTCAAACATATAAAACACATCAGGCAACTTTTTCCTGAATTATCGAAATGCAAATAAGCATATTATTTGGCTGGTTGTATGGCCTTCGCGTAGAGAATGGCGCTAAATGCAGGGAACATGGAGGCACATTGAGGAAGCAGTTGGTTGCATCGACGGGATTTCACATGAAATATACGTTCCTCAA